TTAATTAAAAAATATATTATTGTTTACCACGAAAGAAACTTCTCAAAAAATTATATATTTCTAATACGTTTAAAATTTTTTAACATAAAAAACATTATATATTTCGGGATTATTGAAGAAGCAAGACTAAAGAGATCTTACGACAGAATGTAAAATAAAAGAATTATGAAAAGTAAGATAAATGTGGAATGTAAAATAACGTCAAACTGATAAGAAAGTAACTGATGCACGCAATAACTTCGTAATAGAAAATCTAAAGAAGACGTAAGGTTTCTCAATAGGGATCCATTTTTTGAACGTTTCACTTCTCTGTTTATTTAAAAGATATTAGCTCTGACTCGTTGTTTGCTGCATAGAAGGGCATGATTATTCTATTCTATAGAAAGACAATCGCCAACCGAAAGCAATTGTCAGGCGGAATTTCAAGAGACTGAGCAATCCTATCATTATAAGTCACCAGCTCCATGACTCACGGATCGTTGAGTTGGAGGCGACGACGAAACTTTAAAGCGACTCGACAAGCACGAACCTGCACGATTTAGTCTAGCTGGGGAATGCCTGGGGAATGCCCGACACCGGATGCCACGTGTGTCCGTGTATTGCTCGCCTCGAAGCGGACAATCGATAAAAAGTCGCTAACAAAACCGCGAAGGCCGCTCGCGAACGTAAAGTACACTCGTTAGATATCCTCCTTGCGATTATACATATTTTCTGGGAAATATCAGTGAGTGACGATGGACCCAGATAGGATACAAAAGTCATAATATTATAAGGATCATTTGTTATCATGACCTTATTTTGTCAATTATAGGTGACAAATGAAGTCATAATGACGTTCCATGATGTCATATTATTATGTCTCCGCAGAACATAAACTAACAGTTGCACGTCAATATTATAATTTCCTTTTCAGTAATGCAATTGTTATGTACAATATGTGTTATATTATTGAGGACAATATAATATGGTGTAGCTAATGTTTATTATTACAGCGAATTCGATTCGACGTATTTACTTTACTATTTATTTAGTGCACACTGGTGCGTACATTAAAGCCGCCATACATAAATTAATGTAAAGAAATGTGTGCTTAATATAAATATAAAAATAGGTTAAACCGTGAAATACTCAATATATTTTAATGTGCTATTAACAAAATATATTTTATAATTTGAAATATATATATGTCACTTTTATTTGTCAGATTTAAATCAGTGTACAACGGCTTTAATATGCACTAGTTCTAACCGAATTCGCTATTAGTTTATGTTCTCTAGGATTACGTCTTCTACCTAGACATATTATATCGCGCTTCATACAACAAAATATAATTCAAAAAACAACAAATTTTCCAAAAAATAAGTTTAAATATATTGAATTACTAAAATTTTGTGGTTTTTATGCAATTTTAATGTAATCTAATTGTAGAGGAATAAAAATATGTAGTTTTAAATTATAATTTTCTCTCCAGCATATATACGAAATTATAATTTTTTTAATTATGTTGTAGCAAACGAGCGATGTATATGCGCGACGAATAATTCACGATTGATATTCACGCACGTAAGATTACACAAGCGTTTTTATCGTGTTTGTTTTCCTATCATCGTTCTATTGCAAAAAAAAAGAACCGGATATCGAGATGAATATGGTGAATTATCAATATGAATGTGAAAAAGTACGACTTGCGTCTCATTTTCGTCACGATTAGAAGGCATTTTCATTTGTCAGTAACATTGGAATTTGAACTTAGAGAAGTTATATAACGATTTATAATATTTGTATCTGTGATTCTGTTTTTCGAGAATCGAGCGACGTCTAGATTCGCGCACCCTTTGTGCAAACCCTTCGAATCTGCTCGACCAATAAGAGATCGAGCTGAATAACCGGAAATTGTCCGTTTGTAAATTTGCAAACGGACAAGTCTAAATATGGACAGATTGTACGATCGCGTTTATTTATTCATAATGCGAATGCCAACTTCAATAATGTTAACCACGGGTGTAAAAAAAGACGCGAGTGATAGTATGACATTGATATAATTCAGGATTTATGACATAGTATGCCACATTTGCTTATGGAAAATAAACAATGCATTAGTTGCCTTTTCTTTCTATCTTAGCCAATAAAGCACAGGTGGCGCTGGCAGTGCCGTTCGATACGCTGGCAACAGGAAGTCGAACCGAAAGATGAGCGGATTATCGATTAACTATTAAGAACGATCTCGAATTCTTCTCAGAAGAAACCTGCAAAACATTTTTTTAAACGAGAATCATTCTCATCTTTTTTCTCAGTCCTTTTGTTGCGATCGAAACGATATAATCGTCGCGTGACTCGCAGCTTGATTCACGTAGTGCGACCTAACAGTCGGTTCGCGACTAACGGCGACCATCTTTTCCGAGAGAATGACGCAATCGATGACACATTTCAACACCGCCCATCGTTCGATTTAACGAACGGGTGCAAACGGGTTTCCCGGGTGGCGATCGTTCGTTTTCTACGCATCGAGATCGAAGTCCGAAGCCCTGGCGGATCAGCGACACGTCGCTACTTCTTCGGGAACGTCGCGTGCGTTTCCGTGGACTTTAATCCGTGGGTCGAGCGAAAGTCGCCAGCTGGTGAGAGCTATTTTGAACGACACGATGCGACGTTGCCACGTCTTCCTTCGATTGCCGTTGCGATCGAACAAGTTCAAACACGTGCGCCCCTCCGCATTTTGCTCGCTCGGCATAGAGATAACCGCCTTGGCGAAACGACGGCACGTTCAGCACTTTTCGTCCAGACCGCCGCGATTCGCTCTCGACGTTTTTAGGCCTTTCAAAACATCGTGCCAATAGAGTTGCATCGTTGCATCGTTTCGCCGACAAAATTTCAATCTCCCTCCGTCGAAGGACTGTTGGAAACGGAAGGGATCATGCGGGGAGGGAACAAGCCGAGAGTAACGTTTATATCGCGAGAAACCTGAGACTCGAATTTCTAGGCGCGCTGGAATATCTCTAGAAATCGGCGAAGCTCGAGATTAAACGTAAATGAGATGATTATACGATTCTCGATTTGAATTCCAAAATCGCGGGAGCGCTCTGGACAATTTTTCATTAGGCGTGTCATCTTTCGCGACGATAGAGTTGGACAAGAAATCAGGTTGCTATCTCGCGGCGTAACGGCGAGAGAGCATGAAAACAGAGACAGAGAGAGACAGAGAGAGAGAGAGGGGGGAAGGAGGAAGGGAGATGGAGAGATTGAAGAGAAAGGAAGTGCGGCAACGTGGCATCTCCGTGACTGCGTGAGCGGAGATGCGCGGCATGAATATAGCGACGGAGTTTAACGAGCCAGCGCATCGACGGGGTAACGGCGGAACGTTGGGCTTCCGCGGGGTGGGGCGCGGTGGAACAGGAACGCAAATGCACGCGGGGTAAAGAGGTGCGGAAAGTTTCCGCGGCGGTGGGGATCCGCGATGCGGGAGACGGTAGGGAAAGGGGAACGCGCCGCCGGCTGGGCGCAGCCGCTCCGCTCCGCGCCTGCGATACGATACCACCAAGGTAACGTGTTACTTGAGTAGGCTGTAGATGCCTTTTGGAAATTTCACAAAACGCCCGTTTCCCTAGTGTTCTTCCCTTCTTTGAGCGCTCCGCACCTAGTGTGCTAATTGTTCACTTCTATACCAATGTAGATTAACTTTAATTTTTGTTTAATTTACTCTTTACCTCTTTCTAATATTTATAAGAAAAATTAGAAAAATGTAAAAAGTAAGTAAGCCAAGAATGAAGTTATATATATAATCTATACGGAGAAGATTTTATATTAAGTTTTAATACAATTTTAAATTACACTCTTTATTATGTCTTGTATTTTCGATGACCATCATAACATGAATCCGATATAACTTTTACTATATACTAATTTTTATCACATAAATAAAGTAATTTTTGTTAAAAGCCAACGCTTAAACCATATTCTAACATGAAAACAGTTAATTTCTACTATGGAACTCAAACAAAATTTACTAGCTATATATTTTTTACTTATCTTTACAATATTAACTTTTATTCAACAAGTTTTGATTTTGTAATAAAAAATTTTTACTATGAAAAAGTGTAAAAATTACGTTGCATGTTTTCAAAAAAATAGCTATAGCATTTAAACTTATAATTGTCATGATAGTCAGCAATTTCTACAACATTATAGTAATTTTAAATATAAAATTTTCTCCGTGTACATTGATAAAAATATACATAAAGAAAATAATGTGTTTATTTCTATGTGGAGTAACTTTACTCTGGGTCAAATTTATTCCATTTTTTTCTAATGTTTAGGATTTAAAAAAGATTAAAGGTAAGTTAAAAAGAGATTAAAGTTAATGTACATTGGTAGAAATAGATATGAGGAGAATAACATTCATTTCTACTCATGTAGATTAATTTTAATCTCGATTTAATTTACTCTTTATTTTTTTAATGCATAGAATTTTAGAAAAAAAAAATAAAAGATAAGTTTAATCGAGATAAACTTACATTTCTCGCATAATATTTTTAACGTCATTATTTGGTTAGTTTGTATGGAGTGTTTCTCACTTTTCAACATTATATCTTAATTTTCATTAGTCTGTTTGATAACTTACAATTAAATAAAGATTTATATATCATATTTACAGATTTATATTCAATACATTCTTTAAATAAAAATAAATGCAACAAATTTTTTTTAATTATAAAATAATTTGCACTAAATATAATAACGTATACAAATAGTATGGCATTTTTAAAAAATGAATTTATAAAGCCATGGTATCCTGAACGTCCCACGTGAGTAATAAAGAGTTATAATACTTAACCTTAAACGTAACTCGCGTCTCGAATCGAGTTGGCTCGACTAGCGACGCACTTCATGCTCGCTATCTCTTTGAGAAAAGACAAGGTACTTACCTATATGTATACATTTAAGAGAGAAAAAAATGTGGCTGAAAAAATGGCTCTGGTTTTGACATTCGATCTAATTGAAAGATATTAGTTTATATGCTAAAACTTTGTCTGAAGGTCGATTCTTTTCTTACCACATGAAAGTCAAATATTTTGAATTAAAAAAAAAAACAAAGAAATAGATTGCGACAAGTGAACTTATCGATAGGTGAGAGTGTTCTCTCGAGGGGCGACGCGCCTCGACGGTGATTCGAAATAAAGATTGAAAGCTATGCTTAATCGGTAGATAAATAATTATCGCGGGTAAATCAATTCTGAGAGATATGCGTGTTGCGTGCATAACATAATTTTTTTTTGCCGTTACAAAAATTGATTTATATCTAAATGACACAAAATTCAAAATCAAAACATAAGACATCTTATAGATGTCTTTTAGACAGTTTTGGCAAAAATGTCTTTAAAACATGTCCTGAATTTAAACTTTTGTTTTTTGCATAGATAGATCAATTGTTTAAAATTTCCACAACGTAGTTATAAGCCAAATGTCTATTCATTTATCACTCTTTCTTTGGAAAATTTTATCGTTATCTATTTTACGAGAGTAAAAAGGTTGGAATGTACGATAAGTTTCCAGAAATATTGTTCTGTTTGTCACATTTATACGAGTTAGTGTGGTATTCGAAGTAAAATCTACTCATAACATTCCCAAGTAGAAAAATTTATAAGATCAAGATAACTTTAGGTAAAACTAATTTTAAGAAACATCATAGTGATGTCATTCGATACACTTGTCAAAAATTTATCACAGTCATTGTCAAAGGTGTCGAATGACATAATAATTTCTCTAAAATGATTTCTATTTGATGTCACCATGATTTTATAACTTTGTGTTCCTGGATTATCCATTTAGTATCCATTTCTATCAATGTAGATTAATTTTAATTTGAATTCAACTTACTCTTCACCTTTTTTAATTCTAAAATCCAGAGTTCCACAAGATAAGATGTAAGATTAACTTTAATCTCGGAATTAGAAAAGATTAAAAATAAGAATAAGAATTTAAAAAAAAGAGAAAGAGTAAATTAAAGCGAGATTAAATTTGATCTTAGTTGTCCATAATTGTGGAACTGGGACTTGAAATTAGAAAAAGATGAAGAGTTAATTGAACCAAGATTAAAATTATTACATTGGTAGAAACGGACAGATCTATTCTTTACTAACGTAGATTAACTTTAATTTCAATTTAATTGATTCTTTATCTTTTTTAAATACTTATATTCATTTCTACCAATTAATTAACTTTCATCTCAGTTCAATTTAATCTCTTTCAATACCTAAAACTAGAAGAAAATAAAAAGTAAGTTAAAACAAGATTAAAATTAATCTACATCATTAGAATTGGACATACTTTACGCGCGTCGCTGTAAACGAAATCGAACGACCGCGAACTTCGCGAAGTTCAGAAACGCGCTCTTATCTCTCCTTGTCTATCTTCGATGTAAAGCGCATTTCTAACTTGCAGTCTTCCCGCGACCAATTAGAGGCCCGCCAACAGAATCTTCCCCCTCTATTGTGGGGGTGAAGCACGTGGCGACGAAGTAATTGGACACAATGGAAAATCGCAAGTGCGAGTCGAAAATGTGTATTATCGTGAGACACGGGGCTTAAAGACGTAAAGGTTCGCATCGCGCGAGATTCCGCTCGTCGATCGTCGATCGCGCGACCGACTTTCAAGGCTTCGGCAGCGACGGAACGGCGAAATGCACGAGCGAACGAGCGGACTCACGTACGCCCGTGTTTCCAGCCTTCGCCTATGCCTCTCTCTCTCTCTCTCTCTCTCTCTCGTCGGGTCGTTGCGCGGAAAATCGTCGACGAAACGCGTGCGGTCCAAGTCCAGAATATGCCGCCCGCGATCGATCGCATATTCGAAAACACGCACGGCACAGCGGGAGCATGTCACGCGTGTGCATTCCAAAATCTTCCGCTCTAGCCGTTTCTCGAGAATCGTCGGTGAACGTCGGTTGCGTCCGTATCGGTGAAATCGTGGAACGTCGAGGAGGCGCGCGGAGAAAGGAAAAGGAGATAGAAAGAAGTGAGAAGAGAATGCGCATGTGCACGCATGTGTATGTGTGTGTATGTGTGTGGGGTCGAGGGCTGCGGGTAGTAGAAGAGGAAACGGGATTCCCCCTTCCTCCTCCCGCGCGTCTGCCATTCGTCCACTATCCCCACCGCGACGCTTCGCCATCGAGTGTCGACCGCAACGTCACCGTTCCCCCTCTTCCCCACCACGCTACTGTATCTCTCTCTCTCTCTCGCTCGCGCGGATTGTGTGAGGCGCGCGCGGACCTGCCCAGTAAATGCGAGGCTTCCGCTCGACGAGTATACGTAGCGGTAAGAGAGTGCGTAACAAGCGCACCGTACACAGACAGTTTTTCGCACTTCGGCGACGTCGTCGTCGTCGTCGTTGCTATCACTTCAAAGAGAACAGTATCCGGACATCAACATGCCGCTCAGCATTGGCGTTAATCTACGAGTGACCGGCCACTGTAATCAGGGCGGTCGCAAATACATGGAGGACATGTTCTGCGTGGCGTTCCAGCCGACCCCGGACGACAAGGATCTGGAATACGCGTTTTTCGGAATCTTCGACGGCCACGGAGGCGGAGAAGCCGCGACCTTCGCCAAGGAACATCTCATGGATATTATTGTGAAGCAAAAAAATTTCTGGAGCGATCGCGACGAGGATGTGCTGCGGGCGATCAGGGACGGATATATGAACACTCACTACGCGATGTGGCGGGAGCTCGGTACGAAGATATAAGATTGTTGTTTCGTCGACTCGTTCTCACTTGCACGCACAATGATTATCTTTTGCTTTCGCGCAAATTTTAAATTTTACTCGCCGTCGATAAGCATTGCGTATGCGATCCCCCTCGGCGGCGACGGTGACCCCCGTTGAGAATTTCTGTCATCATCCCGCGTATTTCTCCCACCACTGTCGCCCGTCACCGCCGCCACTGATTAGGTTAGAATTTAGGTTATGTAATTCTTCGAGCTAACCTGAAAATTTGGGCTCGGGAGAGCGACGGGAATTAACTGATGCAACGACTTCTTAAGTCGTCTCCCGTCACGAATCTGGACCGCGGCGACTTCCGCGGCGGTACCGTCGCGTGCACGCGCGCTCGCGCGCGCGTAAAGCGTAACGGGCGCGTCGACCTTGATCGCGGAGAACTTGCTGTAGGTTTATTTCTTATTACTGCACTGGATTGCACTAGACTTTCTTCCTCGCTTTCGCCAAATTTCAAATATAGATTTCAAAATATTCTATTGTGTTTATTCCTGCGCTAGAACTTCCTCATTTTAAACAAATATCAGACGTAAGGTTTGTCTTATAGTTAAATATCCACAGGACTTATTGTTTTAGTTGAACTTTTTGCCCAGTTTATCTTCCTTTTTTCTTTACATTCAAGAAAAAAAGAGAAAATGAATTATACAAGAAGTTGAGCTAAAAAAACAAACGTTTTTAACTTCAAGCGAAATGGACATATGTTTGACATTTGGCAAAAGCAAGAAAGTATAGGAATAAAAAACAGATTTATCTACTTTATTTTAAATTTTAAAAGTAAATACTAATACAGCTAGAAAAAACATCTATTGTGTACCTATATGTATATGTACCTATTTTACTTTAAATACAAAAATTACTGACTAGTTTAACTATAAAAAAAAAAAGATTGATATCTATCACAATAATATTTTAAACTGACGTTTTGTACATAGACAAATGGCCGAGAACCGCATCTGGATTGCCATCCACAGCTGGCACAACCGCCAGCATTGCTTTTATAAGGAAGGGCAAGATATACATAGGTCATGTGGGAGATTCCGCTATTATATTGGGATATCAGGCAGAGGATGATCCTCAATGGAGAGCAAAGGCACTTACGAGAGATCACAAGCCAGAGAGCGTGCTAGAAATGACGCGTATACAGGAATCTGGTGGAAAAGTGGTCAGTAAATCCGGTGTTCCAAGGGTTGTGTGGAACAGACCTCGCATTGGGCACAAAGGTCCAGTTCGAAGATCCACTCATATGGATGAGATCCCATTCCTTGCAGTAGCCAGATCTCTAGGTAAATGCATATTTACCAATATCTCTTTGTGGATACAGTCAATGATGCTACAAATGCTTTAAAGTATTTTTTGATTGATCAATTAGTAAAATTCTTTCTTTTGATTAGTCAATCAATGCTTTGAAGCATTTATGAAACTTTTATTGCACTCTGTGTCTTCTTGTGTACAAAAGAGCTTAAATTGAAATTTATTTTAGGTGATTTATGGAGTTACAATTCAGAATTGAATACCTTTGTCGTCTCCCCTGAGCCGGATGTGAAAGTTATTCCAGTTGATGTCAAATCACATCGTTGTCTTATTTTTGGTACTGATGGCCTATGGAATATGTTATCTCCGCAAGCTGCAGTAGCTATTGTCCAAACCACAGACAGACACAATGAGAAACATTTGATAGCCTCTCAGCAGACCGGTAATGGAGTAAGTTTCGCGCGCGTATTATTAATTATATATATAATTATTAAAATAATATACAAGATGCCGATATCCACAGATCAGTAAGTCGGGTTGCCTATGGGCAGAGGCACGCGTTACTGGTAATGCGGAATAAGATTAGATCGCAAGTCCAGCGGTGAATGAGACAAGAGAAATTGATTTTTACATTCTGATATAATGTAAAATTCAATAATATGATATAAAATATGTATTTAATAATACAAATAATATCTGACTTAATCTAACATAAATGAAATTTAATATTTAAAAATATATAATTGTAAATTATAATTATATAATTTGAATTATAATTATAATTATATATTTTTAAATATTTATTAAATTTCATTTAGTTTAGGTTAAGTCAGATATTATTTGTATTATTAAATACATATTTTATATCATTATTAAATTTTACACTATATCATAATGTAAAATTCAATTTCTTTTGTCTCATTCCGCGCCAGATGCGATCTAATCTTATTCCGCATTAGCAGTAAAGCATGCTTCTGCCCATAGGCAAATAGACAACTCAACTTACTGTAGGTATCGGCAGCACCCTGTAGAAGTTGTTGTCTTAATATATAATAGTACGGTAATTTATATAATGGTGAGGTATATAAATCGTTTTGATAGCAGGCTGATTTACAAATGTGGATAAATCCTTCGAAAAATCTTGTGGATCGTGCATTAGAGAGGTGGTCATCGACGAGGTTACGAGCAGATAATACTAGTGTTGTAACATTAATGTTAGATCCATCAGGACCATGCCGCAGTGAGGTATAAATAATGCTTGTTTTGAAAAAATCTAATGTACATAAATAATTCATATATAAATATTGACAGAGTTAAAGCAAAAAGTTTTGTTGTTTGAACTTTGAGTGAATTGAGATTTTGCAAGAAATCTAATATTATTATATAATTGTAAAATTATTAATACTATAGCTAGGATATCTGTCTTTATTACAGGTATTGTTTAATCAAAAGAAGGACCGTGTTATACATCACGGAACACAAGTACCAGTTACGACAAGAGAACCTGAAATTGTTGAGAGAATTAGTTCAAAAATTACAACGCCGTGCATGTGCATGCCAATACCACCGCCAAGCGCTTCCTTGGATCTTGACATTGATCCTAAACAACCGGACTCATCGAACGGAAATGAGGAGACTGTCGATCAAACGTTACAGCCCGAGATGGTCTCATGTCCTGAAAAATCAATTTCTTCAGAGATTGACGCTTCGGAATTACGGGAGACCGCGATAGACAAGAGTATCGTGACTACCGATGTCGGCGAAAGTATTCAGGTCGCCGAAATTTCCTCCAGTCAAATGTCAGAAGAACCTGGAGATTTGGAAAGTAAGAAAACAAATGAAATCAATCGTGAGAAATTAGAATGTTTCGAGGACGAAAAAAAGCCAATAGTTGAACAGAATGAAAATGAAAAAGCAAAGGATGATCATTTGCAGAGTCCGATCCAATCAAACTTAAAATCAAATAATTTCATCGAGCCTAAAGAAATTATAACTGAAACAGGGATGTCTAACGCGACTCGACAGAATGCATGTTCCAATGCGAATGAGGAGGCACTTCACCCTCCTCTTGTAAGTAGGTTACGTCGAAGCGGTATTGTTTCTGTTAAAAGTAACAGTTTTGATAATGATGAGGTGAAAAGTGGCGTCTTAAATGGATCGAGACATAAGCAGCACCCTTTATTTCCCGCGAGAGCGGACGTCAGAACGATAAAGCGACGACATAGTTTGAGCTCTTCTCAGACTCAGAATACTTTCACCGACGTCGCACCGACTCCAGATTCGAAGACTTATGTAAGCGTGAAGTCGCGGTACAGCAGGGTAACGAAATCATCTATCGCGGAAAGTACGATGGTAGAGGAGACGAAGAATGCATTGAAAACGGCTAGCGACTGTGTTATAAGTAATAAACGTAGACATAGCACAATCACACAAGCCTCTGTCTCGTCATCTGGAGTTGAGAATAGCTGTCCACAGCAAGAACCATGTGCAAAGATGAGGACGCGTTCTGAGGACCAACGACACAGTCCCACGGATGAGAATGATCCGGCCAATCAAGCGATGGAGAATGCTAATGCCCGATTAAGTTGGCCCACATCAGATAAACGATCGGATTCATCATTAAACGGTGCCACTTTAACGACGCTCTCTTCGTCATCGAATACGTTTCAACGTAGAAGTTTAGAAAAAAAGGCTACGCCTGTAAAAGCCATTAGGAGATCGTCCATCAATGGTTCGACTCGACTGCAACATCTAAGAGGCAGTTTTGGCCTAAGGGAATGGGACCAAGGAAGAAATAACCGAACAAACAATTGTAATAATAGAAGGACATTAAATAGGACAGTAACGATAATCGGTCCTACGGATTCGACGATACCACAGCGATGGCTAAGGTTTGTTTAATTATGTTTCTTTATTCCTAAGAAATTATTTTTATGTGATATATTTATATTGTTCTTAATAATACTTATATAAGTAATATTTATTTTGTTTTATAAAATAAGTATTCGAATATTTGTTTTATGAAATGAAATAAATATTGCTATAAATATTAAGGTTATAATAAAATGGAGCATATTGTGCGGATCGTTAGAATAATGTAGATTGCATGATTTTGTTGATATCGAAATACATGTCTAAACTCCCATAAACTTTTACTAAACTCTACAATTTCCTATATTGTTTAGATCAGATACAATGGCGGCAACGCCTGTGAAAACACTACGTTCGCGTAACGTAGATATCGCCGGGCACACAATATCTGCGCAATTAGTTCATCAATACGGAGTAGTGAAGCAAAATCGATTGCCTCTACCGAAGCTGAAGCAGTCCGCGAACGGTGGATCGCTGCAATCGAGTAGAGTCAGGTCTTCCTCGTTGTCAGCCAATAAACTTAAACAAGCAAATGGTAACAGTGGAAGCGTGAGTACCTGCGCTACCATAAATCCCTCGACAGCAGGTTCCACTTCTGCTATAGCTAAAAAAGTCAAATCACCGTATAATCCTAGTGCTCGATCTCTGAGCACGCGATCTCGAATCAAACGTCTTGGAAAGTAAGAGAATAATGAATGGTTGTAGTTTTGCGAATTCGCGAATTTTAGGGTATGACATTCTTATCCTTATTTTGCTATCTGCGAATTATCTAGTTACGATATAAAAAGTGATTGTTACATGCATTTTATATTTCTTTAAAATTTCCCCACTTTCATCTTTGAAACTACGTATTCTCTTTTATTCGAGGTGTCTGCTATGAATGGGGTTTGAACACTCTTAATTATTCTTATTATTCATTTTATTTTTTAAAATTGAATAAAAAAATCTGAAATATAAATTAAGTATCTTCTATACAAAATTATTTTATTTTAGATATCAAATTTTAAAAAATTGCGATCTAAATAATTTGCAAATACTTATATCTGTTTGTGACAATTACTATTGATTTATTGAATGTATTACTTTGTATTTTGTTATTGGAATTATTTACTGACCTTTTATGTTCGTACATGAATTGCATATATCTATTTTCATTTTATACTACTGCTTGCTGCATGGAAATAAATTACTGCGCTCTCCTATTCTATTTATTAAACACGTTCATTAATTCCTTAGAAAAGGATACTGCGATATCGTTTAGAATGAACTAAAAGAAATTGAACTAGTCATTCTTGAAAAAGTATCGTTATATTCGAAATTTTCTATATATAATTTACAAGACTGCTTTCGCAGTTTCTAAAGAAAGTTTTTTTTTTATATTGTTCTTTCGTATATAGGCGAATATTAAATGCAAATTTATAAAGAGTTCTTATGTTTAAATTGAGTTAATTGGCACAAGAAGCACAGTTGGGGGCGATGAAAAATTAATACCACGAGAAATTTCCAATAAAAGTACGACAAAAAATATTCCTGACACCTTTTATATGCTTTCCAATATTTGCATAGATTACCAAGTATCACGTAGGAAAAAATATGAAAGTATAATATGGGTGTATGCATAAAGTAGCCTGACAATAAGAAGGTACAGTTGTGTAAAAACTTGGGGTATGCATATCTCACATTTGCACATTCTCAGTGATAACTATTGTTTGCGATCTTTACCTTCGACCGTATGAGGCAGCCAAACATGTAGGGTTGAATATGAAATATAAATGCGCGGCTGTGCACACGTGTGTTGCTAAAAAGAAATAATTTTCCCCTCTCTTCCTGACTCCGCTCGACGACAGTCTTAGTTCGGAAGGAATTCGCAAGTCAAAAAGGCGCCGTAGAGAATACCTATAATTAAGCATTAAACTATTTTCTAGTATGTAGGATATGCAATCACACTGATCTGCCTTGACTGAGTACGGAGTGGTTGTTGAACAATTCTGTAAATAGAATTCTAAGAATTAATATATGGTTGAGAATAATTGGTAACCTTCTATCATATATATAAATTGTTGCGTAGATAAATAATGTATGACAAAAAAAGAATTTAAATTCACCTCTGGAGAAAATTCCAGGCGCATGGTCTCGAATAACGACCACTCGGTATGAAGCACCAAACGACTGTTTATTGTACGTTATAAAAGATGATTAGATTATATCTAGACAGAATATTGAAAGCACAGCTTGAAAAGCAATCAAGAGATTCAAATTTCTATCGGTACGAACAATTGTACAATTGTGTTCCAAATGCAAATGTGCACTATATACTAGAGATCTAATAATTAAGTCACTGTGTGTGAAGAAGAAAGATTTATATCTGATATATGTATCTGACATTAATATATGCAATGTATTAATATCAGAATATTAAAAACAGTGTATATGATCTTCTATACCAGTCTTTCATATAAAGTTGTCATTTTATCTCGTGCAAGGAAAAAGAAGGCAATTCAGGATGAAGTATCTATTTGGTTTCATTATAAAAATTACGCACAACGCGTTCATTTATAATTCGATGATAAATAGAAATTCTCCGTTTGAGTTTCACTTATTTCGAATGTATATTGTTTTCCGTTTAGTTTTAATTATTTTGCATCTATATATCGAGAGAAATATTTTAAAACAGCTTGTAACAAAGATCAGTAACGAATACATATACCTTTCGGTATGTAGTCACTTTAGAATTTATACGTTTCTAAAGAAAAGAAAAAAAGAGGAGAAAATTATGTAAATAACGATGAAATATAAAATGTTAACAATATATATTTATCGATATTACGCCGATTATTTATTAACTAGCTTTTAAAATTATTCGATTTTCTATGTAAATAAGATCGTGCAGATAATATATGCTTGAAATATATCGTTTGGGGTTTCTTAGAGAGAAATTATCATTACGAGATAGTCACTGCGAGACTGTATTAAAAACGAAAAAAAGGGAGGAAAGGGGTGACGTATGCCTACAATAGTTACCACTTGCGAACATGTGTGCGTGTATGTGTGTGTGCGTGTGGCGTGTATGTACGTGTATGTGTCTAGATAAGGGATTATATCTCTGAGGAAAAGTTTTAAAGTAAAGTAGGGTGTTGCGAGGGACAGAGTCGAGTTACCGAGGAAAGAGACATATGTGCTAGTACAGCGAAGATTTATATTTTAAGAGAAGATTTATTTATTCTTTTTGTGGTGCATGCCCGTAAGTCTCACACTGTATGTAAATACAGTGTTAATAAATATAATTATATATATACATATATATATATATATATATATATATATATGTGTGT